GAGCTGGATGAGATTTTCGCCTTTATAATCGGTGATACACATGTAACATGTACCGTATATGCCACCTTTATATCAACAATGTATCTCTTAAATATTTTGTACCATATAATGTAAAAATGTTCCTATTGGTAAAAAAAAAATGAAAAGATGGGGTGGTAGGGGAAGTGGAACATTCAAACGGCTTCAGGAAGAAATCCAAATATTCTTCCTTGAAGCCTTTTTATCCACTTCTCCGAGGCTATGGGTCCCACAATTTACACCAGAGGTGGACCCCATTATATAATATATTTATATAATATATATATATATATATATATATACATATATATATATATACATATATATATACATATATATATATATATATATATATATATATATATGTCGTGACGAATATGTAAAACTTGCGATTTTGGGTTAAATGACAACGCTCTTCTTGCGGAGCAAGGCAAGTGAAAATTTGTGTATGCAATAATTTCGCAAAAGTCATTCTCAGCCTAACAAAAAAAATAATTTCATTGTTTGTTAATAAATTATTAACATATCTAAAGTATATTTAGTTGGATTCGGCTAAATTAAATTGAGTTTATTATAATATGGTTCGATAAGTTTCTTAAGGTTCTTTTGGTACAAAATTATTAATTTTTACACTAACATAAATGAAAAATATAGATATCTTTAAACGTATAAGAGAAAATTTTAGATAGGACTTCATTTTAAATGAGTTCTTGCTAATTGACCAGTTTTACGTATTCTGCACACTATATATATTCTTTCTTCTTTCAACGTACCAGCCGTATCCCACCGAGGCAGGGTGGCCCAAAAGGAAAAACGAAAGTTTCTCCTTTTAAATTTAGTAATATATACAGAAGGGGTTACTAGCCCCTTGCTCCCGGCATTTTAGTCGCCTCTTACGACATGCATAGCTTACGGAGGAAGAATTCTGTTCCACTTCTGCATGGAGATATATACACAATGGACCCTCGCCTTATGAACGCATCGCGTTACATTATATCCGCCATGTGAAGCGTTTGAACGCCAAATTTTGCCTCGCCTCGCGATAAAAAAAACTCCTTATGTGATTCGTCCGGGACGTGTCCTACTTGTGGTCTCAGCTGCAGTGTTTACAAGCCAGCCAGTGCGGTCGCATCTACGCATACATTCAGTACATTTCACATTATCCCAGTGTTTTTAGTGCTTGTAACTGCAAAATAAGTCACCATGAACCCCAAGAAAGCTTCTAGTGCCATCCTTGTGGTAAAAAGGGTGAGAATTAGTATGGAATTGAAAAAAGAGATTAAGGAAATGTGTGCAAAGTGGGTTGAACTGCAAACCTTTACGGATGAAAATCACCCTGACACGGCTACTGCAAGCCGTGTTGGCAACCTGTACAATGACAATGTTATGGCCCGTTTTAGGAAAGTCTTAAAGCAACGGGAGGTACAGAGCTCTATGGACAGATTTGTTGTGCAACAGAGGTCCAGTGACTCTCAAGCTGGTCCTAGTGGCATTAAAAGAAGGGAATAACCCTGGAAAAGGACTTGCTACCTCAAGTCCTAATTGAAGGGGATTCCCCTTCTAAACAATAACTTCCACACTCTCCCCTCCTCCCATCCCATCAGTCATCACCAGATCTTCAATAAAGGCAAGTGTCATGTATTCTATTCTTATATCTTTAACTACAATATCAGATCTTTAAGCAATCATTATGATGACCTCCTAGCATTACTAAATTCCTTACATGCCAATATGTCCATCATTACACTAACTGAAACATGGCTAAAGCCTGATACTACAGATGTCTATGCCATTCCTGGTTACACAGCCATACACAACTGTAGGCCAGACCAACAAGGGGGTGGCACTGCTATATACTACTCAGACCAACTAGAATGTATCACTAATACTTGCACAAGGGATGAACATGGGAATATATATTTGCTAAATCAAATCCAAATACCCACAAAAACCTCTCACAGTGATAAACATCTACAGAGTTTTCCCCAATCAAACATTAGCCAATTTATCAAAACCTAGGAAGTATGATAACTGATGCACGCATGAACAAAAAATCACTTACTACTCTCAGGTGAACTTCAATATAAATCTCCGCAAGACCAGGACCCCACAACGTTACTGATTCACAAACACAATGAGAACTGCATGTTGCTACCAGCAGTAACAAAACCTACAAGGTTAAGACTAGTGTTTCCCTACTAGATCACATCTGGACCAACACCATATCCCCCTTTAAAATCAGCATAATTACAGATAATACCACAGACCACTACCCTACTTTCCTCATAATAACTCTTGGTAAAATACCCAAGACACTACTAAAGTCACCTTCAGACTTCACATTGAGGCAGCCATTAATAACTTCACAACAGCAGTAACAAAAAATGACTGGCACCTGAGCTAGAAATCTATACAGAATATTTACGAAAAGTTTTTAATAATTTTCTAAAAAAAGACCCAATACCTTTATAACAAGCCCTGCCCTAAAAAACTAAAACAGAGACAGCTAAGAGTCCTGAACATCCCTGGCTAACACCCAGCATTCTCAAATCCATAAATACAAAACACCGAATGAAAAACAGTACAGAATGGGTCACATAACCGAGACCAAACAAAAAATTACTCGTCAATCCTAACAGCCGATGAGAAGGGCAAAAAAATTGTATTATGAGAACAGATTATTTCCCAAATTAGGAGGGGATATAAAAAAGACCTGGAAGACCTATCAGAAATTCTGGGAACAAAAAGATATCACGACATAGCGAAATAAAAATTTGCAAAATCAGATGAACCCCAACCCCCCACCAACAGAAATAGCAAACAGACTCAATGATTTCTTCTCCACTATAGGTCAAAAACCCTTTCCAATAAAATCCCAAGCTCAGATACCCCACCAAAGACTACCTCACTGGCAACTACCCGAACACAGTTTCCTAGCTCCCACTAACCCATACGAAGTCTCCCTTATTATCAACGCACTGAAAAAAAAGGCAGGAGATTAATAAAACCTTACCACCCTTTATATACAAAAAAAGCGTCACAAGTACTATCACCAATCATTGCAACACTCTTTAACAAATCCATTGAATCCTCCCACCTTCCCTACAGTTCTCAAAATAGCAAAAGGGGCACCCGATCCATAAAGGAGGAGACCAAAAAAGAAATTGAATAACTATAAGCCAATATCCAATTTACACCCTCTCTCAAAAATCTTCGAAAAATTAATTCAAAACGATTCTACTCCTACCTCATCTCCCAAAAAATTCTCAACCCCTGCCAATTTGGGGTTCAGGGGCCTAAAAAAAAATACTAATGATGCTATTATACACATGCTAGAACAAAAATACCAAATGCCAAAAAAGAGAAAAAAAAAATCCCAAATGGGGGTCTTCAAAGAAATTACTAAAACTTTTGATTTCGTTGACCCCTGACCTTTTTCCCCCCCACGTAAAAATTTTCAAAACTATGGGATTAGAGGGCAATCCCTCAACTCCCCCAATCTTACCTCCCGCAAAAACCCCAAAAAGTGTAAAGCAAAAAAGGGGGAAGCTCTTCCCCACAACCAAATTTCATTTTGGGGTCCCCCAGGGGAAATTTTCCTTGGCCCCTTCCCTTTTTTCCTTTCCCATACAAAAAAATACCTACCCAAAAAGCCTTTTTGCAATTTTCTCCCCAAACCCCCACTTTTTTGCCCGTTTACACTACATACGTTCCCTTTCCCCCCACTCCGGCCCCCGTCCCCGTTTTGCCCAAAACCCGGGGGAAACACCGAATTACAGAAAATTTTCTACCTGGGTTTAGGACTAACCCAAAATTTCACAAACTTTTAAAAAAAACCCCAAATTAAATTTAGTTTTGGTAAAAAGCAAAAAGAAGTACCCCTTAACATAAAAAATTAAAAAGGATCACCTATCACAAACCTTTAAAAGAGGGAAAATTCTTAGGAAACCCCCCTCGAAAAATAGACTCAAAATTTTAAAACCCATATACAACAAATTTTTTTAAGAAAATTTTCCCCAAACGTAGGGAAAACTAAACGAAGATACCCGGGACTAAGTTTTTCCAAAAAGTCCCGCCCCCCTGGCCCTTTTAAACACCTTATTTTTTCCCCTATCTCACCTATGGGAATTTTTTTTGCATGGGGCTCAACCCAAAAAAATTAACCATCTCAGACCAAATAAATTTCCCAACAAAAGCCCGCATTTAAAAAAAACAAATTCCCCACCCAAAAGGCCCAACACACTCCAAACCCAAAATTCAAAACACTCAACCCACTCACCATACAAAACAATCCATATTTTATTATTGCACCTATTACATACATAGAACACTTAACTCTGATATTAACCCTCCCCTCAAACATCTCCTTGCCAACCTCAACAAACACATGACCATAACACAAGGCACAGATCACTCTTTTGATGTTCCTCGTGTCCATCTCACGCTAGGGCAAAAACTCAATGCACATAAAAGGCCCTAAAATCTGGAATTCATTACCTGTAAATATAAAAGATACACTACCTGTTTATAAATTCAAGTCTCTTCTCAAAGTTCACTTACTCACTCAAAACCAAATAAATACTGAATAACTGAACCTTATAAATTGTAAATCCAAAATGTTACTCACAATTATATCACATAAATGTTAAACCTAGGACCCAATGTAACTTTATTTTTTTAAATACACTACCTAACAGAATACTCCATTCTACTGAATGTACAGCAATGCATGCAACCATATGACCTGTCTTTGTAATACTCATTTGTGCTTTATAGTTATCTGTTTACAATAATGTCTTATCACTGATTTCATCATTGCTTAGTTAATCTTAAGTTAATTTTTAAGCCAGCCCGTAATGCTATGCATATAAGTGGCTTTGGCATGCTGCTCTTACCTGTATTTTTTTTGTACCTCTGTATGTATGCTAAAATTTCTAAATAAAAAAAATAATTAATGAATGAAATTCTTTAATTCGTGACAGCAAAAGAAGATTGGGTTCATAGTGTGACTATGCCTGATCTTTACCGAGGACCATACCAGAGTGACGATCCCTTAGCTGTTGAAAAATACGTTGCTGATGCCAAAGATGTAATTAACAAAGCCCGAGACGGTGGAAGAAAGGTTGGTCTAATTTTCATTATTTAAAATGTAACAGCTTTATTTCCAAACTTGAATATGCGATGTTTAGGAGAAGATGGATGCACTGTAATGTATGTTATGCACCTAAACTTCTGGGGGAGGGCGCCGTGATGCTGGAAAAGGACTCATGATTAGAGAAATAGAAGCTAGCCTGCCCTCTGATCAAACCAGGTTACCTTCAATTCCTCATATTCTATATAATCCCTACGGGTTTAGAGCTCTCCCGTGAATAAGTAATTCTCACTACCTTCAGAATATTGTGCACTATTTGCCTTGTGAATTATTATTCTAGAACAGTATCATATTCATGGGGAAACGTTAAATCCGTAGGTGTGGTGCATGGCGAGGGTAATTTGGAGGTAATCAGGTTTGATCCATTTTTTTATCGGGGTTAAACTATCAGTGTCCAGGCATCCCTCTTGGTGACAACTGCAAGGTAACTTGCAGCAGTAGATGCACTCTTAAAAAGATAGAGGTTATTGAGTTAGCCTCACTTCTTAAGCTTTCAAGCCACACAACTGTTAAGTTCCACCTACCTGCTCTCACACAACTGAAAACCCTGGTGTTTGGTTTTTCTTCAGTCCACATATTAAATAACCGTTACTCAGATTATTTACTTCCGGGAAGTGGTGCCTTAAAGTGATTTCCCTGTATTAAATAACTGTTATACTGACCATTGTTTATTAATTACTTATTAATATGTTTTTATTTAATAGTAATTTATTATTTAGAGGTATCGGGAAGATGGGAATATTTTGAGGAATTGTTAAATGTTGATGAAGGTAGGGAAGCTGTGATTTCGTGTATAGGGCAAAGAGGAATAACATCTTGTATGAGTGAGGAAGAGCCAGTTGTGAGTGTGGGGGAAGTTCGTGAGGCAGTGGGTAGAATGAAAGTGGGTAAGGCAGCTGGGATTGATGGGATAAAGATAGAAATGTTAGTTTTGGAGTGGTTGGTGCTTTTATTTAATAAATGTATAGAAGAGGGTAAGGTACCTAGGGATTGGCAGAGAGCATTCATAGTTCCTTTGTATAAAGGCAAAGGGGACAAAAGAGTGCAAAAAATTATAGGGGAATAAGTCTGTTGAGTATACCTGGTAGTTAGTATTGAAAGAATGAAGACTAAGACAGAGAGTAGGTTAGCAGATGAACAAGGAGGCTTTAGGGAAGGTATGGGGCGTGTAGACCAAGTGTTTACAGTGAAACATATAGTTGAACAGTATTTAGATAAGAGTAAAGAGGTTTTGTCGCATTTATGGATTTGGAAAAGGTATATGACAGGGTGGATAAGGGGGCAATGTGGCAGATGTTGTAAATGTATGGAACAGGAGGTAGGTTACTGAAAACAGTAGAGAGTTTTTACTAGAGTAGTGAGGCTCAGGTTAAAGTATGTAGGAGAGAGGGAGATTTCCCAGTAAAAGTAGGCCTTAGACAAGGGTGTGTGATGTCACCATTGTTATTCAGTATATTTATAAATGGGGTTGTAAAAGAAGTGAATGCTCGGGTATTGGTAAGAGGTGTGGGGTTAAAAGATAAGGAATCTAACATAAAGTGGGAGTTATCACAGTTGCTCTTTGCTGATGACACTGTGCTTTTGGGAGATTCTGAAGAGAAGTTGCGGAGGTTGATGAGTTTGGTAGGGTATGTAAGAGAAGAAAATTAAAAATGAATGTAGGAAAGACTAAGGTGATGAGGATAAAAAAAATAGGTGACGAAAGATTAGATATCAGACTGAAGGGAGAGAGAGTATGGAGGAGGTGAATGTATTCAGATATTTAGGAGTGGACGTGTCAGCAGATGGGTCTATGAAAGATAAGGTGAATCATAGAATTGATGAGAGGAAAAAAGGTGAGTGGTGCACTTTGGAGTCTGTGGAGACAAAGAACTTTGTCTATGAAAGCAAAGAGTGGAATGTATGAGAGTATAGTTATACCAACGCTCTTATATGGGTTTATTTATTTATTTTATGCCTTTGCAAATAGTACATTGAGATTTTGTATTTACAATAGTAGGTTGCAATGCAAAGAGAGCCTCTGTTATGCCTAGGCATTATGGTTCGACTTAACATTATTGGCTTACAGACTACTTAACACTAAGGATTCTATCATAGTTGTACAGTAGGATAGTAATTATTTCATAGTTGTACAATAGATTATTAATTATAAGTGAATAATTTGTACAAGACAAAAGATATATTCGTTCAATCAACTCCGTGTTCATAAAGAACTGCAAGAAGCCCCTATCACGAGCTTTTACCATCCTAGGGAGAGGGAGCATGGACACAGGGGTCGTCCCACAGTTACTAAAAACAACAGACATAGCCCCACTCCACAAAGGGGGCAGTAAAGCAATAGCAAAAAACTACAGACCGATAGCACTAACATCCCATATCATAAAAATCTTTGAAAGGGTCCTAAGAAGCAAGATCACCACCCATCTAGAAACCCATCAATTACACAACCCAGGGCAACATGGGCTTAGAACAGGTCGCTCCTGTCTGTCTCGACTATTGGATCACTACGACAAGGTCCTAGATGCACTAGAAGACAAAAAGAATGCAGATGTAATATATACAGACTTTGCAAAAGCCTTCGACAAGTGTGACCATGGCGTAATAGCGCACAAAATGCGTGCTAAAAGAATAACAGGAAAAGTTGGTCGATGGATCTATAATTTCCTCACAAACAGAACACAAAGAGTAGTAGTCAACAGAGTAAAGTCCGAGGCAGCTACTGTGAAATGCTCTGTTCCACAAGGCACAGTACTCGTTCCCATCTTGTTCCTCATCCTCATATCTGACATAGACAAGGATGTTAGCCACAGCACCGTGTCTTCCTTTGCAGATGACACCCGAATCTGCATGACAGTGTCTTCCATTGCAGACACTGCAAGGCTCCAGGGGGACATCAACCAAATCTTTCAGTGGGCTGCAGAAAACAATATGAAGTTCAACGATGAGAAATTTCAATTACTCAGATATGGTAAACACGAGGAAATTAAATCTTCATCAGAGTACAAAACAAATTCTGGCCACAAAATAGAGCGAAACACCAACGTCAAAGACCTGGGAGTGATCATGTCGGAGGATCTCGCCTTCAAGGACCATAACATTGTATCAATCGCAGCTGCTAGAAAAATGACAGGATGGATAATGAGAACCTTCAAAACTAGGGATGCCAAGCCCATGATGACACTCTTCAGATCACTTGTTCTATCTAGGCTGGAATATTGCTGCACACTAACAGCACCTTTCAAGGCAGGTGAAATTGCTGACCTAGAAAATGTACAGAGAACCTTCACGGCGCGCATAACTGAGATAAAACACCTCAATTACTGGGAGCGCTTGAGGTTCCTGAACCTGTATTCCCTGGAATGCAGGCGGGAGAGATACACGATTATATACACCTGGAAAATCCTAGAGGGACTAGTACCGAACTTGCACACGAAAATCACTCGCTACGAAAGCAAAAGACTTGGCAGACGATGCAACATCCTCCCAATGAAAAGCAGGGGTGTCACTAGCACGTTAAGAGACCATACAATAAGTGTCAGGGGCCCGAGACTGTTCATCTGCCTCCCAGCATACATAAGGGGGATTATCAACAGACCCCTGGCAGTCTTCAAGTTGGCACTGGACAAACACCTAAAGTCTGTACCTGTGGCTCGTACGTTGGTTTGCGTGCAGCCAGCAGTAACAGCCTGGTTGATCAGGCTCTGATCCACCAGGAGGCCTGGTCACAGACCGGGCCGCGAGGGCGTTGATCTCCGGAACTCTCTCCAGGTAAACTCCAGGGATTTGCCGATACTTCCGGCCCGGGTCTTCTCCAGATGGTGACCCGGCGGATATATTCGTATATTCAAAAATTCTTTTTGTGAAAACGATGATTCAATTATATTCCTGTCAACAATGGATAAAAGGTTCAAGGTAATTGTTGAAGTTATGATGTGGGAGTTCATAAGTGAGTATATGTGTAATGAATATTTAGCATTTAGTCTAGGGTGATCAAGTAGCTTTTGAGAAGTCTTAAATTGATTTTCAGACCGGGTTACTTTAATATCTTCTGGTAATGAATTCCGTATTTTGGGGCCCTTTATGTGCATAGTTTTTACAGTGTGATATGGACACGAGGTACATCAAAAAGGGATCTGTCTTGTGTTATGGTCATGTGTCCTGTTAAGGTTGGTGAGGAGAAGTTTGAGTGGAGGGTTTATATTTGTGTCTTGTTCTGTGTATGTAGTAGGCACATGAATAAGAATGGATGTTCTTAATGGTGAGCAGATTCAGACTTTTGAAAATTGGTGGAGTATGCTGGCAGGAGTGGGAATTTATCATTCTTACTGCTGCCTTTTGCTGGGTTATTAGAGGTCTTAAGTGATTGGATGTTGTCAGGGCCGGATTACCGCATAGGCAAATTAGGCATTTGCCTAGGGCCCCGCGCATTTGGGGGCCCCGTGCATTTGGGGGCCCTGCAGTCCAAGGGGTTCAGGGGCTCATCCAAGACTGCGCACATGGTGCAAGTGCAAAGGGGTCCCTACCTAAAAAGTTCAAGTGTTCGGAGAGTAAAATTGATTTTTAAAAATTAATCAAAACAAAAATAAATAATGAAATAAAATAAAATAAAAATAAATAAACCTAACCATAGATGGCAACACTCAACACGCCTTTGTTTACATCAGAACAGCTGTGTTTTCCCGCTAATGGGTGAGTATAGGAGATTCCTCTCCAATTTTCTGTAGTTTATATGATTTGATAGTCTTATGCATGATGCAATGATAACAATAATGGTCAGTGATTTATAAAGGGAATAATAGTGCTGTAGTGGTTATGCTGAATATAATAGGTACATGATGTCACTACTTTAATAGCCTAATCTAGTAATACTATGCTGTCTTGAGTTTATTCTCTTTAAAATGCATGATTTAACAAGATAGTTATAATGGCTGTTGGTAAATGATTTTGGTTGTCTTGATGTACTTTCCCTATTAAATTTAATCTAAATAGCCAGAATGTATTTAATTAGACCTTAAACAGGCTCACACCGACCCCCCCCCCTCACCCCCAAGCTGGAAGGGGTCGCTTCGCATACCCGTAACTCAAAGGGGCCCCGCCAATCTGAATAGCCTAGGGCCCGGAGACTTCTTAATCCGGCCCTGGATGTTGTTGATCCCCATGCACAAATTCCATATGTAAGATAAGGGTATATGAGTGAATGGTACAGTGCCAGGAGAGCTGATTGTGGAACGTAGTACCTTATCTTTGATAGTATGCCTACAGTCATGAAGATTTTCTTGGTGATCTGTTGTATATGTGTCTGGAACTTAAGGCTACTGTCAAGGTGGATACCTAGGAATTTTCCCTCTAAGTCTTGTGACTGATGATCCGTTTAGCGTTATGTTAATTGGATCATTTGCAGCTTTGTTTCCAAACTGAATGAAATAGGTTTTATCAGTATTCAGGGTAAGTTTATTAGTTATCATCCAGGCAGCTATTTTCTTCAATTCGGCATTGAATGTGTTTGCTAGTATGACTGGGTGGGAAAAGACGTATGTAGTGTCATCTGCAGATATGGGTTTGAGTAGCTGTGATGCATTCGGTAGATCATTGATGTAGATGAGAAAGAGGAGTGGTCCAAGGACACTTCCTTGTGGGACTCCTACTGTGATTGGTTGGGGAAAGAGTTTGCACCATTTGCATACACATATTGAGTTCTGTTACTAAGGTATGATTTTAAGTAGTTGAGGGAGTGGCCTCTGATACCATAGTGCGTTAGTTTGGAGTACAGCAGTTCATGGTCTACTGTATCGAAAGCTTTACGTAAATCAATGAAAATGCCCAGCGGGACTTTTCTTTTCGAGTGCGGTATGTATTAGTTCTAGCATGTGTATGATAGCATCATTTGTGCTTTTATTATTCCTGAATTCAAACTGACAAGGGTTTAATATGTTGTGTGAGACGAGGTAGGAATAGATCCGTCTATGAGTTAATTTTTCGAAGATTTTAGAGAGCAGTGGTTAATTAGATATTGGTCTATAATTATTCAAGTCAGCTTGGTCACCTCCTTTGTGGATTGGAGTGACCCTCGCTAATTTGAGGATTGTTGGGAAGGTAGACGATTCAGTGGATTTGTTAAAGAGTGTTTCAATAATTGGTGGCAATACTTGAGAAGCTTTTTTGTACATAAAAGCAGGCAAGATGTTAATGTCTCCTGCCTTGTTTTTAAGGGTGTTCATGATGAGCGTAACTTCTATGGGGTTGATTGGAGCTAGGAGTAGCGTATTTGGGTAGGTACCTATGAGGTAGTCTGATGGGCGGGTGTTTGCGCTTGGTATTTTGTTCGCTAGATTTTTTCCTATGGTGGAGAAGAAAACATTGAGTCTGTCTCCTGTTTCAGTTGGTGTGAGTAAGGGTTCATCTGAATTTGTTAGTGTAATTGTTTTGCTTTTGGATAACTTTTTAGTACCAAGAATTTCAGATAGTTTTCCAGGTTTTTTTATATCACCTTTGATGTTATGTAATCTATTTTCATAATACAATTTTTTTAGATTTTATCAGGCTGGTAAGAGCTGACGAGTAACGTTTAGACTGTTCTCTAGTTATTTGACCCATTCTATACTGTTTTTCATATTTGTGCTAAGTGTTAATGGATTTGAGGATGCTGGGTGTTAGCCAGGGATTATTCAATCTCTTTGCTGTGATCTGTTTAGTTTTTTGGGGGCAATATTTGTTATAGAGGCTTTGGGCTTTTTTTAGAAAATTATTTATACATTCATTCATATCTGTATATGTGTCGAGCTCATTTTCCCAATCGATGTTATTCATAGCTGCTATAAAGTTAACTGCTGTCTCGTTATGTAGTCTGAAGGTTACTTTAGTAATGTCTTGTGGCAGGTTGTGAAACATGGGTGGTGAATGTTGCAACAAGAAGGCTGGAGGCGGTGGAGACATCATGCCTGAGGGCAATGTGTGGTGTGAATATAATGCAGGGAATTCGTAGTTTGGAAATTAGGAGGAAGTGCGGGATTGCCAAAACTATTATCCAGAGGTCTGGGGAGGGGTTGTTGAGGTGGTTCGGATATGTAGAGAAGGTGGAACAAAATAGAACGACTTCGAGAGTGTGTAAATCTGTAGTGGAGGGAAGGCAGGGTAGGGGTTAGCCTAGGAAAGGTTAGAGGGAGGGGGTAAGGGAATTTCTGTGTGCGAGGGGCTTGGATTTCTAGCAAGAGTGTGTGAGCGTGTTAGATAGGAGTGAATGGAGACGAATGTTTTTTAGGACTTGACGTGCTGTTGGAGTGTGAGAAAGGTAACATTTATGAAGGGAGTCGGGAAAACCGGCAGGTCGGACTTGAGTCCTGGAGATGGGAAGTACAGTGTCTGCACTCTGATGGAGGGGTGTTAATGTTGCTGTTTCATAACTGTAGTGTAAATTGCACCTCTGGCAGGACAGTGATGGAGTGAAGGATGAAGTTTTTCTTTTTCGGGCCACCCTGCCTTGGTGGGAGAAGGCCGATGTGTTAATAAATATAAATTATCATTTACGGGAAGTGGTGCCATTAAGTGGTTGTCTGAATTTTCTTCCTCGTCCCATCGTGTTAAGTTTTTCAAGGCTCCTTAATTGTTAATGAAGGAAGGATACATGGGATTGTAGGGGTGGGCAGATACCATTTTGTCAGTTTTATAAAAATGTCTGTGATCTTTTGTCTTCCGCCCACAGGATGATATGGCATCCAAAATAAAGATATTGAACTTAGAATGGTCTAATTTGTTTAGGCATCAATTTACCATTTTTAGAAGAAATGGGAATATTGGTTTCTCTTCGATAACTTGTGAATGCCTTTCAGCAGAAGACTCAAACCTCTAAACTGCACATATCTTGAAGTGTGTGCCACAAAAAGGGTTCAGGTAGGCTACTGAGGTAATATGGATCCTCATATTGTGGGAGGAAGGAGGTTGGGGAATGGATGGTGGGTGAGGCGTTGTCTTTTGGACATTGAGTGAAACGCATTAGCTCTAGGTGGTGACTGGTATTACAGCAGGTGATTTCAGAATCTTGTTTCATCAGACCTAAGCAGCTTCAATACCCATGGTCTGATTTTGTTTAGTAACTGTCAATGATAAATCCATATCCTTCATGTTTTATTCACTTGAAAGATCTGATTCACCTAGTTTATGAATACCTCTTATGTAGGAGCATCAAAATTAAATTAACACCTTTCAATTCAAAGGAAAAACACTTGTAGACAAAGACAAGAAAACTCTCCACATATCAATCTCTGAGATTCCTTCAGCAGATAACAAGATCTAGAGAAAGGAAAACTTATATAGGAGGTAGAATACATGTTTGATGTGATCTTTCTAATAAATCTGAGCACATGTAAAATAGTGGTAACTTTTAGGGACAGTTCTGTGCGATGTGGTGGTTGACCTCGTTAAATTTTGTGCTGAAATATTTCGGCCCAGATTTCACTGTACACAGATACCCCATGCAAACAGCTAATAATAAACACAAATTAGGTAACCAAACCACATAAATAAAATGAAGTATGGTATTGAGCTTGATCCATTATTGTCATCTACATCTTCATAAGTTATAGAGTCGATTAAGCTCTACGGACATGGCCAACGTAGTTTCGTCTTTCTGCTCTTGTTTTCGCAGTGTTTGATCTGGTATGAGCTTCTGGGTGTCTTGGTGTTATCTACACCTCCTTGGACTTTTGAGGGTGTTAAATACAGGTGCTAGGCTTCTTAACTGTGTTTATGTAAAGCTCCTAGACCTCTTGAAAGGTTTAATTATAGCTCCTTTGTCAAATTTTTGAGTGCAAGAGCTACGTCCCTCCTTACAAATCCATTTCTAGTCGTACTCTTAAATTCACAAAAGGGATTTATTATTTTACTGTTGGACTATAATATTAAACACTTGCCATGAATATCTCCAAGAATATATAGGTTAGTGGTGTATCCGAAATTAAGTACAATATACAAATAATTTTTCTTTTCTGCAGTATACCATAGGTAATGTAGTTTACACGTAATTATTAAAATAGGATAGTTAAATTATGAGTAATGATAAATAAGAAAGAACAGACCTTGGTACTAGGCACTTTGTATATATTCTGCTGATATAGGTCTCTTGATGTGTATTAACTGAGAAGCACAACACATGTACACGTGGAGGAATATACATTTCGATATATGTACACTTAACTTACTTTAATCCAATACAGATAACTATTATAGCCGCAAATAATTTAAAACTATGTGGGTCATACAGCACTTAACCGAAAAAGGCCATCCATGCCTTCTCAGTTCTTCACTGCAAATAAAGTATCATAATTTCTTTCTCAATTATTAAAAGAATATTTAATGAAGGAATATCATGATTTCTGTTCCATAGCTTGCATGCTTCATTGCGGAGCCCATGTTAACAGTACCTGGTTGCATTGACCCTCCCAGCACCTGGCTTCAAGAGCTCTACAAGTAAGTTCAGACCTACATTTTATGCTCTCTACTGTTACTTTACCGCTCTACTATTCCTTGATCGTCTCTGTACTAGATAGATAAAACCCTTGGTGGGTAAAACGTCTTTCAGAGAGATACCCAAGAGTTGCAAGCGTCTTATTCATCAAACACTTTATGGGTTTATCACTTTCTATAAGTAAACTAAATTGTAGCATAACTGGTAGTAATGGAGGGAGGGCAGCAAGAAGTCCAACTGTAATTTGATGCAAAATAACTTTTTGGTTTCTAATGGTCCAGCTGTCTTGCAAGAGCTGAAGAACTACTGAAAAAATAGGTCTTTCAATCAACCAACGGCAGATTACAAAAAAATCCCGAGTTACAGAACGTGTCGAAGAGTCCAGACGTCCATATTGCTATATTTCAGTAGAATCAGGAGCATCTCCTTCCCCATAAAAACAGTTCTGTCTGCTGACACAGCCAACATTGAATATGAATATAATGATATAAGAAATGTTGTACAGCGAGAGCATCATACCTAGAACATTTTTTTTTAACTTGCCACTGTAGGTAGATCAGAAAGTGTTCTTCATAAGACTGTACAAAAACTTTGTTTCCCTGAACAAGCATATAATAGTGTTTTGCAGAATCTATAGGCCTTCTGTTCACAGTAAGGCACTGAAGATGCCATATGCTAATTATCATTTTTTTTCAAGCAGTCTGCCATTTTACTCCAAGGAATATTGTCTCAGAAGTGCAGGGATATCAGTTCAGATATTCCAAATCTCAACATTCGTGTAACCCATTCCCGTGTGTGCAGGCACTGTGCGTCTTACTGTATGTCCCAATGTTCCGTTGTAAAATGATAATCATGAAAAGCGTTAAACTCGTGAGTCATTCAACGCTGCTAGAAATATGGAGCAAATTATTTAGTAAAAGGCATTATAAAATTAGTGATGTGCCAGCATACTTTGTCATTATGTTGCCATAACCTTATAAACTTCATTCTGACCGAAGTTTGAATCTTTACATTCCCACAACAAGCTCATTTTTTTCATTGAGCATTAGTAGTATGTATTGACTTTTATCACTTCTGTTTATTTTGTTTTTAACAGGATGGTGCGAGCGTTTGGTGGACTTTGCATAGCTGATGAAGTACAGACAAGCCTTGGGCGTATTGGTTCACATTACTGGTCATTCCAAGCCCAAGATGTCAAACCGGATATAGTCATCATTGGAAAGTCACTCGGTAAATGTTAAATTGTTATTATTATTTAGTTATTACTCTTGTTAGTTATTGGGGATTTTTGTCTTTTTTCTTAGTTGTCCCTTTTTGGGGGAGGTTGTCATAAGTGCCTGGGGTAAATTCGACTTAAACCAAAAGGGAAAACATATTCCCAACTAAGGCTAGTTAAAAACTCTAATTTCCCTACCCCTATAAAAATACTAGTAGTTTGGGCTAGCTTGCAGGTCTTGGAAAAAGTACGTTTAAAAATTCACAAGCAAAATCTTAGTTGTACACCTTTCCCGATCTGCCATTTTGCTTGCCAGAAATGGGGCTCTTAAATTTTTGTGGGTAGGGATTTCAGCCTGCTGAGGAAAATCCTTGAAGGGTTAAAACCCTTGGGGTTTGGCCCTGCCTTATTTTTAAGGTTTTATTATCCATATTATCATTTTCCTTGGGAGTTTTGGTAATGACCCGTTTTTGGATTATTTTAGGGGGAAATCCCCCTGACATTATCACTCTTAACCCCTTACATTGGTTTTTTTTACTCAGTTGTGTGGTTAGAATTTATTTTTTAATTTCCCTTTTGGGGTTTTATTTCAAAAATTTACCATAATGGAGGAAAGAAATAAAGTTTCCCCTTAAAATTTTAAATTTAATATGGGTTATTTCCATTGGGGTACTTTGTTCCTTTCCTAGGATGCTACCCACAACAGTCTGCTAAACCCCCGTTACCTACTTACTGCTAGGTGAAGAGGGGGCAACAGGTGTAAGGAAACACAGCCACTGCTTCCGCTCATAGCAAGATCAAGCCCGGGTACTTAAGATGAGATTGAATCAAATCAAATAGTTTATTCTCTATAAAGATTAAAGTGTGGGGTTTACATATTATAGAATAGTGTGGTTTACATATAAAATGCTCCCCTCAAGGAAGGTTCCTTGATGTTGGTGAAGGGCTCTTGATTTAGGGAATTGAATCTGTGCTCCAGTTCCCCGAATTAAGCCTGAATGCCTTCCACATCCCCCCCAAGGCGCTGTATAATCCTACGGGTTTAGCGCTTCCCCTTGATTATAATATAAAATGCTAATTACAGAGAGGGCCACTATCACACCTAGCATGACTAGCCATTTCAAGCAGCCTAAGATTAATTCAGAGCTCTGTATTGGTACAGGTTATGGAGCATGTTGGTATTAAGGCTAGGTAACTGCATTACAGTTCTTAAATTTAGCAATGTGAATGGTTTTGTATTGGTATGATACATAGTTTCTATTGAAACTCCTATATTGGAGTATCACAGGCAAACTTATGACTAGTCTAAGGTTCATTAGGTAATAGTTGTATTACGTATTTCTATGTTTATAGTCAGTTGGGTGAGTGTGTGAATTGTGGGGAATCTCAGATATTGAAGGGAGGTCTAGGTGGTTTGTATGATACAAGAGAATAGGCGGTTTTCATGTTAGCTGACTGTGGGGTGTCAGGGAGATAAAGATGTTTTCTAACGGTAGTTTTGAAAGTGATGAAAGTCTGCATTTCTAGAGCTTTCAGGTAGGGTGTTCCAGATTTTAGGCCCTTTTATGTACATTGGATTTTTGTATAGGTTTAACCAGACATGGGGGAATGTCAGATATTTTTGTCTGGTGTTATGCCTGTGGGTCCTGTCATAACTATCAAGAAAGTGTTTTAGGTCAGGTTTGTATTGATATTTAAGATTCTGTAAATGTAGGTTGCACAGTAATAAGTGTGGATGTTCTGAACAGCGAGTAAGTTTAGATATATGAAGAGTGGGGAGGTGTGTTGCCTGGGAGTGGATTGCATGATTATTCGTACTGTGGCTTTCTGTTGAGTTATTATTGGCTTTAGGTGTATTGCTGCAATTGATCCCCAAGAACAAATAGCATAGGTGAGGTCGGGATAAATTGGTAGTGAGAGAAGGGCAGATTGTGACACGTAGTAACGTATCTGGAGAGGATCCCAACCCTTTGGATGCTCTTTTTGTTGTGTGTTGAATGTGGGTGCTGAAATTCAGGTTGATGTCAAGGTGCAGGCCTAGGAATTTGCCCTCATATGTCTGGCAGTAAGAATGTTGTCGATCTTAATGCTAAGTTGTGCAGCACCTGCCCTGTTACTAACATAATATAGAAGGTTTTGTCAGTGTTTAAGTGTAAGCTGATTGGCTGTCATCCAAGTAGATATTTTGAGTAGCTCCTCGTTAACAATGGTGTTGAGGGTGGCAGGATTTGGGTGGGAGATGACACAAGTTCATGTCGGCAGCAAAGAGAATGGGTATGGTCAGCGTGTTGATACGTTGGGACGATCTTTCGTTTAATATGTTTATTATGCACCATACCCATCCTGTGGGCGATAGTCAAAAGATTACAGAGGGTACATAATTGGTCCAGGGACTGGACTCCAAAGTATTGATGCTGAGCAAGTTACAGAGGTAAGAACTCACAATTTACAACTGGTAATGAGTCCGAGGTAGGTCTGGTCACAATCATGCAAGTTACAAAAGGTATTTACAGTTTACAGAGGTACGTAAAGGGTCAAGGGACTCGGGCCCAAAGTTTTGATAGCTGAACTAGGTACAAAGGTAATGAACTACAGAGTTACAAAGGTAATGAATCCTGGTGTAAGAATGGTTACTTAGGTTTATACTTGGCCTTTACATCATGAACAAATTATAGAGTAATGAAGCAATTCACACTTCCACACCCGGTCACAACTGTAATGCGTTATTGGAGTGCAAATATGATTGTTGAGAACACACACATACACAACCACATCCCACACACACACACATACACACACACACGCATACACAACAACACTCCTACATATCTTTAAGCGAGGTACGCTCAAGCTCATGGTTCAGGGAGGAGTGACCTAGTTAGCGACAGTGAAGAGGCGGGGCCAGGAGCTTGGGACTCGACCCCTGCAAAACTTCAATAGGTGAGTACTAGTGAGTACACACACACAACATAAACATATAAACAACTGACGTGTCACACACACACACCACGGCGCGCGCACGCACATCACACTCGGGCCAGAGTGGGTCTCGAACCCCCGAAACACAACTAGGTGAGTACACACAGCTGATCCTTGGTATTTGACTGCCTCCCCACAGACCTCTTACCTTATCCCTCCTCGGGTTTCTCTCTATCATAGCCTTCTTCCCTCCTTTCTCCCTCTCTCTCTCTTTCTCCTCCTCCTCCCTCTCTTTCCTCCCTCTCTCTACCCTTTCTTCCCCTCAATTTCTCTCCCTCCCCCTTGGGTCTTATCCCTCACCCCATACTCTCTCCTCTTCTCCCTTCTTTCTACCCTCTCTCTTCTCCCCCACACCCTCTCCCTCCTCTAGCTTCTGTCTGTGGGAATAAAAAGTAAAAAAAAAAAAAAAAAAAAAAAAAAAAAAAAAAAAAAGGGTGGCCGTAGAGGACGGAAACCCAGAGTCGGGTGGATGAACCAGGGAGGAAAGACGGGGAGCTAGAGCTCCAAAAAAGGGAGGAAGAGTGGGGAAAAAGATAGTAGAGCTTGGTAAGAAAATGGAGGAGCGGATAGCTAAAGAGTGCAGGAAGTGGGAAGTACAGGTCTTAGCAGCAGAAGCTAGGATACAGTGCTTAGAAGAGAAACTGCAAAGCCTGAAACAGATTAGAGAGACAAATGACAATTAGGTGTGACATCAGGAAATTCAAGTCAGGCGCAGACAAGGGGATGGTAAGCAACAACGGAGACATGCCGAACATGAAGGCCCTATCAGACCACGTGGGGCCAGGAAAAGACGACGAGCACACTAAGATCAAACGACAGGTCCGAAGACAATGAAGGTTTTGCTGTATGCAGAGATTCTAACAGCCAACTGCAGTAGCAAGGGGGCAGCTGGTTGGAAAGACAGTCCACTGAGAATAGAAGTTTCAGATATGACAGGGACTGAAGGCAAGAACATGTCAATGGAAGGAAATAAAATGCCTCAGAGGACGCAGATGGAGACTCAGTGGGGGGAGGAAAGGGCGAGGTCAGTTTTGTGTACGGGCTCCAAGAAGCCAAGGGGGGCCAACTTTTAAGAAATAAAAACAGAGAGGAAAAAAAATGATTGAAGCATCATGAAAACAATAGGGGAGGGCAATATGACCCAGGTGAAAATTTTCAAAAGAATTGGGTGGTTTTTCGAGTGGAAGGATACGGCCTGTCAGAGTAACTTTCAAGGAAGAATCAGTTCGAATCAGGATTCTGCAAGAGAAAGCAAGACTGAGGGGACAAAGAGGGGTACCAGAGAGTTATACCCGACCACGACAGAACACAAGAAGAAAGGACTACACTGAAAGAGAGGGTACAGAGACGCAAGGAGGAACGAGAGCAATGAAAATGAGCAGGAAACCCAGACACAGGGGAAGGGCAAACACACCCCACAGAATCTCCCACCAAAAGACTCCACCCGCCCACATTCCCAACGCAACTGGGGCAACCCATACTACAACCCACTCACTGTTCCCTCTGCCACCAATCCCCATATCACAAACCTCACCCCAACAGCTGTCCCTTATGGCATTCTAACCCC